TATGCATGCTTTCCCTTGATCTAGTGCATTTCTAGATGCTATATATTAAGAGTACAGAACACAACATGCGTAAGCTTACTTTCATGTGATCTCAGGGAGAGGGCAAATGGAGATTATAAGGATTTAGTGCCCTGGGAAAAAGAGACTGGAGAACTCAGGTCAGTTAATAAAGAGCAAACAGAGACTAAAGAGACTAGCAAGAAAGCCTTTCTGCATAATGAACACAAGTTATGGGAACACAAATCTGTCCCAGAAAGAGCGAGATCTTTAAGCTAATGGATTTCAAAAAACAGAAGCATTCATCTAGGATTACAACTTGTCCTGCACCTGTATTAAAAAGATGCCTCTCATAAGCTTGGTTATTTTATTATTTTACACCCATCTCAAAAAATAGTTTCCAAAAGCCCATCCAGAAAAAAGTACCCTCTGCAGCTGCTGCTTAGACTCCTTATGGGTTGCCTGGCCTTTACATCTACTTCTGCAACTTCCTATTCCAAGGAGTAGTTCTCCCATCTCTAGCCACCATGGAATCAGCAACATCCTCTTCTCCAACAGCAGTGTCTCCGATTCCACCTACTCTTATGGCAACTGGCCTCAAGAGAAGTTGATTAACTCCACAGAGAGCTTGGCTACACACAGAAGTTGCACTACAGTAACTACATTGCAGTATGGAATCGGTAACACCTGCTTCCCCCACAGCATGGGCTCAGTTATCGGTATAAATTATTCCCATATGGGAAGGGGAATAGGCCCCTTTATCCCAACATAACTAGGGATTGTACTAGGTATAACTAGATCAGTAAAAGAATCATCCTCTTAACTGAACAGTTATACTAATACAAAAACTGTGTGCAGACCAGACCTGACCTCCACCTACTGCAGCGTTTGTCTACATTAGGCTTTTTCACCTTGCCTTAATGATTTCCAATTAACTCAAAGCAGTTAACATGTTGGTAAAGGCTAATGTGGATATTTCGCAAATGTTTGTTCCAGGATACAAACATCAATGAACTCTGGGTAATAAAAGTCTCAAGTAGCCATACCAGGAGTCTCTCTTGTCTGCATGCAGGGTGGGCTCCTCTACGGCTGCTTGCAGAAGAGCTCTGCCCAGAAGACAGAGTGGTGTTCGCTTTGGCCGATAGCCAGAATGCACAAGAACAGTAACTGTTGCCGAGATAATTTGGGGCTTGACTGGGCCCCAGCTGTTTTATATCTCATCATCTACCCTGTCAGGAATGAGAGGCTAAAATGATGAAAGAAAACACTCACAAACCCTTCTTTGCTAAACCCATTTAATAATCACCACAGTCTGGATATAGCACTGAAGTAAAACTCTAAATACTCAACTGAAAAAAAATCCAGCTTGTTTTTCCAATAAGCTGCTTTTGCTAAAGAAAAATGCAACAGAAAAAGAGTACTACATTTTAATCCACACGGTGCGTTTAAAAAGATAAAGGACAAGAGGTAGCAGCAGTGAGTTCTAGGGGATTAGAGAAGTGCTAGGAACCAGAAAAGCCCTAGATTCAAATCCAGTATCATCTGACCTTCAGCAAGCCAGTGGGCCTCCTTTTGGCTCAGCCAACTGAACGGCAACACCTGGGTGAAAACAGGACTTCAACAAAAACCAAATGCTGAACTTCAGTATAGCTACCATCTCTTGTGTAAATGAATTACATGTAAAGTTTGATTAGAGACTTGCACAAGCATTAACTAAAGAGTTAGAAAGCGGTAGCAGGTCTCAATCTGGAAGATGAACATTTACGTTCAGGTGGTTTATCAATTTTGAATATATTACCACTAGGAGAAAACCCATGTTCATCCCACTTAATGGTGGGGCACTTCTACTGCAGGAAGGAAAAAATGAAGGGGTCAATGAATTAAGACTGAAGAAAATACAAGACTAACCTATTTGCTGTTGTAATATCAAACAAACAAACTTAAGTTCTAGGAAAATGTGCAGTAAATCTGTGCGTATAATTAGCAGTTCAAGTTTAATTTCACCACATGCTTTATCTATGCAAGAATGTTCATGTCTTAGGGTTTTTAATACCATAATCTAGTTTCATCGAAGTAAAAACAAACTGATTCTTGGCACTTGCCAAGTAAACCAGCTTTCATTCCACATGATTGCTTTGAGCTTTCTCTCAGCTGTTTGTCCACATCTTCCAGATTTTACTACGGTATTGAAGTCCCTTCTGAACATCCCCAAATGAAAACAAAAAAATGTGTGTAAACATTAGCGTGTAGTGCTACACAAAAGGACTGTTTTGGAAAGGCAAGAGTAAAGCGCCAAGGGCTTCACATGTGTAGAGCAAACTGTTCTTCGAACAGGTTATGACATTCAGGAGACTAGAACAATGTGTATATATACAGTAATATGTTTGAAGAGGAGCGGTTTCCTAGTGATGTTCAAGTTATTTTGTTTTATTCCACAGTTTCAACAGGGGCCCGATGGCTAATTCCATTTAAAAGATGGAAGAGGCTGGAGAACATTTCATATATGGCTTCTTATATTTTCACCAATAATATTCAGAAGTATTGCATGAATTAATTGATATAGGCAATCTAATCCACAGCATCTCTTGGAAACTTGCTTGCACGACACGGGCACATTATAAAAGATATCGGACATGCAAACAAGATAAATGTTCACACTGGCTTGAAGCGTTGAGAACCATACATCTGGGCAGCAAACACCACACTGGACACAAGCTAAGTCAGCAGTTCTTAGTGCACTGGGATGACCTCTATCCACCAGAGCACCCAGACTAACCCTATTCTGTTCGCAAAACCAGATATGTTTCTGTATCAGGACAGCAGCTGCACTTATGGTCAACTGAAAAACACTAAAAGACAGCCAACCCCCTCCACATCTTTCCTTCTTTCCGAGAGCCTCTCATCCGTGAGCACACTACTAGTGTGGATGCAACCAAACGGGTCTGGCATGGGTATGCTTTGCAGAGAGGATGCTCCACCTGGGCTAGGCTAAGTCTGAGGGAATGCCCACACAAACCGCTACAACAGCACAGCTGCAGTGCAGCAGCTGAGTCACTGTAGCGCTTCAGTGTAGATGGTGCCTAGGTCAGCGAAGTTAATCCACCACCCCGAGAGGCAGTAGCTAGGTTGATGGAAGAATTCTTCTGTCTATCCAGCACTGTTAACACCTGGGGTTAGGGCAGCACGTCTCTCAGGGGTGTGGATTTTTCACACACAGCTATGCTGACGTAAGTTCCCAGCGTGGACCCGCCGTGAGCACCGATCACCTGAGCTCAGACTCACCCACGGTGAGCTGAATCTTGCCAGCCAAATCTTGAAAAATGAGTAAAGTCAGGGTCCAATAGACTAGGAGGACAACACAGCAATATGGCCGTGGCATCTAATTTTTGGGGGTGTCGTGGGGCCAGTGCAGTAACAAACCCTGTGCAGCCTCCAGGCCACCACAGCAGGGATCTGTATATTTGTGATTTTGGAATTTAGAACTGAGCATCCCTCTCTGCTTTTAACCCTTGTTTTTACTGCTTGTACCAATACGTATTATGTAACTCGCTCTTGGCAAACGCGATTAGAATAACTAGTGTGCCAGAAACTAAGTTTAAGTGAATGAGGAAAGCACAGTCATTCAACTGATACAGTATTTTTAAAGGCGAAAGAAAGGAAAGATTCTAAACCTTATAGGGTGAGACAACATCAGCAAAAGTATAGTTCTTGGTGGGAGTGAACACCTGTAGTGAGAACCCATGACAGAGTAGGAATATTGGTTCTACTCCCTGCTCTTCCACTAACTCATTGAAACTTTTGGCAAGTCACTTAACTTCTATCTGCCTCAGTGTCCCTCATTATTGCAAAAACAATAACCTATCTCACATGGAAGTTGTGAGGCTGTGTGTGTAAAGCAGGGGTGGGCAACCTGCAGCCAGCGGGGGGTGCGAAGGCTTGGGGCTTCCCCCATGTGGTAGGGCGAGCCGGTGCTCATGGCTCCAGCCCCATGGTGTGTGGGTGTGTGTGCGCAGAGGCTTGGGGCTTCCCACCCGCGGGGTTGGAGCCGCGAGCGGCGGCTCGCTGGAAGCCCCAAGTCTCTGTGCCCCCTCCCCCGGGCAGGTAAGTTGAATGTGTGTGGCCCGCCATTTATTTTTTTGGTGGGTCAATGGCCCCTGACACAAAAAAGGTTCCCCACCCCTGGTGTAAAGTACACTGACACCCTTATCTGGAAGTGTAGAACATTAACAGATACGTTTGCAGGCATTTTGAAAGCCTGGGAATTATAACCAACATACTGGGTTTCCCTTGCCTTCACTTTATACTCAAAGATGAACTACCAGACAACGCACTGACATCCCTCTCGCATTACCTTTCACCTACAGTAAGTGTTTATTTGTACCTGTCAAGGAAAGAATTTCTAATATAAACATTTTTAAGCAACAGCTTTACATCTAGAGAATTTTTGTCTTAAAGTGTAATTAGTTCAGACTACATCTCCAATTGCACCCATTAAGCTCAAGACTAGCAGTCTGAAAGCTTGAAACATAGGAGACACTGACTGCCATGAAAGAACTGTGAAATGTAATTGACAAAAGTCATTTGATACGTTTGACATTTCTGAATCCACTACTGGAATTAGCTGTCTGACCATAGTCTTGTGTTGTCTGGGGTCCTGGTAGAATAGGAGTGCTGGAGAGAAGCTTGCAGATAATTTTCTACCCAGCCAGCTCAGCGCCTACCTTTGGGACTCAGACCCGCTCCTTCGCCGCCACTGGTGGAGTGTCGATGCGGGCTAGCTGGTCCGGCAGGGAGGCTGCCGTCCGCGAGACCTCGCCTCCCTCCTCCTCCAAGGCTGGTGCTACTGAGGCCTCCACCTCCCAGGCCAGGACACTCCTGAAGTTTCCCTTTTGGAGGCTGGGAGCGTCTCCGAGGCCTGCGCTTCTCAGGGCGGGGCGGGCAATTCCAAGGAGAGCAGCGAGAGTGGGGAAGCAGCCGGCGAGGCGAATTCCGTTGCTAGTACCATGCTGGACATATTCGGCTCTATCCCCACCCAGATGGGCTACAAGAGTCAAAAACTAGCAGAACAGATTTTTCGAGGGATCATTCTTGTTTCTGCGGTAATTGGTTTTATCTATGGCTACGTCGCTGAACAGTTCGGTTGGGCTGTCTATATAGTTATGGCTGGGTTTGCTTTATCGTGCCTGCTAACATTCCCTCCATGGCCTATGTACCGCCGTAATCCTCTGAAATGGCTACCTGTCCAAGAGTCGGGAACAGAAGATAAGAAACCAGCAGAGAGAACTGAAAAGGCATACTCAAAGTTGAAGAATATGAAACCTCATGATGTAATATTGGAGAATTTGACTTCATTAAAGGTTTCTAGGATGATAAAAAAAAAAACTGGCACCCTGTTGACAGTATAAGACAGGCAAAATTTTGAATGGTGAAGGAGACTGGAACTTCTCTTCCCCCCTCTAGGAATAACTGCTCCTGGACAGGAACGAGGGACATCAACAGTGCAGTGTGAGAAAGTCTGCACTGACACTACCTGTGCCATGTTGCTTAATACATACAAAGAAAGCCCTATGTTTTAAGAAAATTAAGGTTGCAAAGTCAAGCACTCTAAAGTTAGGCAATGCCAGTACTATGGTTGTCTATGTCAGTGCTTCTCAAAGTCGGGCCGCCGCTTGTTCAGGGAAAGCCCTAAAAAAAACCCTTCCACTTCAGCTAAAGGAGTGCCTGAAGCAGCAGTAGGGTGTTAACCTCTGTATGGACCAGTCACTTGAGGGGAACATAACACATTTTGCTAGATAGCAGCAGAATGCTGGAAATCATAAATACTGGGATCCACTCCTGGCTCTAGTGAATAGGTCTAGCAGTTAACAACAGCACACCTAAGCATACAAATTCAGGCCAGCTGTTTTGAAAAGCCATGTGTGGATGAGTAGATAAGGCTTGGGTAGCTATAGTGGAGATCATATTCTATTAAAGCTCTGTTCAAAGTGACCTTCTGAGGCATCTCAGTTACACCATCTGTAAAATGCGAGGAATTAGAACTACCTGACTTTCAAGACAGAGATCTGAGACTTTGCTCAATACGAAGAGATGAAAGTACATGGAATTATGAACACCAATAAGTAGAAGATCTGAGAGTACAGCCTGGTCTACACTAGAAAATTAGGGCAGCATAACAACATTGCTGGGGGTGTGAAAAATCCACACCCCTGGATGGCGTAGCTAAGTCAGCCTACGTCCCCATATAGACAGCACTAGGTGGATGGAAGAATTTTTCCATCCACCTAGCTACCTCCTCTCCGAGAGGTGGATTACCTCTGCCGATAAAAGAATCCCTCCCGTCGGCATAGGTAGTGTCTATACCAAAGTGCTGCTGCTGTAGCATTTTAAGTATAAACAAGCCCTAGAATTCATCTCTTCTTGACTCCTGGCCCAGCACTCCTTCCCATAAGCAAAAAGGGTTGGTTGATGCTGCCGCTTCTGTGTAGAAGTCAAACTCTGGGGTAGGCGAATATGCCTCATGTGGATAGAATGTTCAGTGATTTTAGCAGTCAACTTCGAATAAGCTCTACTGAACAAGTGCAAATGGGGATTTTCAGATACTTGTAACTTGGGATAAATCTGGGTGGATTTCTAAGGAAATAATAAAAGGCTCTTCTGATTCTGACAACAATTTCCCTGCTAAATTTCAAGTTCCTGCTCCCAACGTCTAAAGTGCTAAAGCTCTTCAAAAAAACACAGTTGGAAACTTTTTTTTTTTTAAACATTGCCAAAACTATCTACTCTTTCTAACCTTATTCTCTGGAATATCTAAGCTTTTTTTCTGAAGCTTTAAAAAAATTCTCCTGAGGCAGAGAACATGTAAGGAAATTTGCAGCCCAAGCAGTTAAAAATTGGCAATATAAGAAGCGATTGAAAACAGAGGCTTATAATGGAAAAATATTGGTGTTGATACCAACTTCATCTATAATAAAGCATCATAAATATGCATGACCCTGAACAGACACAGACGTAACATCCCTGCTCTGAAGACTTTATAAACTATGTTTTATGTTATTCTGTCCTGTTAGCATCTGGACACTCAATCTGGCAACTTTCACAAACACTCCCTTCACACAAAAATTGTCGTAACAGGATAAATTACATTCTCTGAACAACACACTTCATATTAATTTGGTTTAGGAAAGTATTTTAAAGTGAAAGCTTGTAGAACATGCCGATTGTACAACAGGTGCCTGTTCTGCTCCAGGGTAATTTCACAAACACTTACTCCTAATGATAAGCATGTCATTCAACACACATTCACACTTCCCCTGGACTTCAAGTTAGAGTGACTAAATTGAAATGCAACTGAATATTTGAGATAGATCTATGCTGTTGACTTTAGGAACAATACACAATCTCATTTATTCACAGCTCTACCCAGGAGTCTTGTGTTGGAGGCCATTTCTAGTTAACAACCATTACTATCAATTGTTTACAGCATTTGGATTCCAGTCGTTAATATTCAAACTTCTACATGGGTAAAACATTGGAGTTACTGCACAGAGGGGCAACTCGGGCTCAACAAACATTGGTTTGCATTTTGGGCACAACTGGAAGAGCAATCCACAGTTTAGCAATCTGAGTGAGTAATCCCCCTATCCCTACATCCTTTTCTTGGGTTTATTGTGAAGGTGGATGTGTGAATGAGAAGGAATGCTTGGGTTGGCATGCACAGAGGTTTGAATACACACTAACCTAATAAAACCCAGAATTGAATTACATAAATTCTGAAAATAAACATTCACCTGGGCTTTAGTGAAAAAAAGAAATTAACAGCAACCTCATTCTCTAATACCATTACTTAACACTTGACTGTAAAGAGACGTAATAGAAGTCATTTATATTTTAAGCTATTTACATGGTGGTGGTGGTGGTGGTGGGGGTGGGGGGAGCTTTGTTTAGGCCTGGTAAAAGAAACCCAATGAGTTTCAAGAGCATTTGTACCACAAGATGTAAAAGACATTACAAGAAAAAAATAGAGTTAGGAGGGGTCTGGTTTTTGGCTGTAAGTTTTGGTGCTTTGCAGAGTTTGGGGCATTCCATTTCTGATAGCAGCCATCTGGGAATTCTTTCCACTGCAAGAAGAATTTTACCACATGCTGCTGCAAGACAACATACAGACATGTTGGCAAAGAGATTCACATATACCTGTTGAAAGTAGTGGGGAAAGATATGGGAGTATTATAACTAAGAGCTGCCCAGGAAAAAACATAAATTTGGGTTCCAGATTATACTATGCACAATATACATGTATTTTGGAAAGCATATGACTTTTAAAAGGAACATAATCAACATGAAATCTAATCTGTTATTAAAAAAAAAGCATTCAAAGCAGTTTCAGGTAATAAACCTTCTGAAAATTTGCGATTTTACAGTCACTTTTCCTATTTTAAACATGGTTTTCTCCCCTGTGTTGCTGCTGAAAACCCCCACACAAACTTGCTGTAATGAGGAAAGGAAGGTACTATGAAAAGAGAAAAGGGGAGCAGATATTGTGAAATTGACCATATAAAAAGTTAATAAAATATTTGCTAAAGAAATTGGACAGATGCTGTTCTCTCAATCTCTTTCAATTATAGTCACTGTAAGTGTTACATGGAACAATACTGGATACAAAGAATTAAGAAGTGTTTTTGAAGCTGATACCCCTTTAAATTATATTTTTAGGTTGAATATTCTTGTCATTCTCATTTCTTCCATGCCAAACCATTTTACTTACAAACACAATAGCCCACAAGACATTTGAAAGTTGTCTAACAAAATGTAATCAGGCTCTTTTTATATTAATCTCATGTACCCAATGCAGAAACACCTGAAAACAAGCCTGACTTAGTGAAATGCAATGTGATATTTTATAGGTATATAAGATGCATTACAGGTATAAGAGGTCTTATTTTATGTTAATGTTTTAAACTAATGCTCTGTGAGATAGAGTAACATACTCATGAAATTACTGTGTACCCAAGTGTCATGGGATCAAATGATACAGGATTATAGTGACAGTTAAAATCAGGCCAGAATTAGAGTTCAGGGACCAACACTGAAACCAAACTTTATACAGCATCCCCCATGTGACCTCCCAATGCAGATTGCTGCATAAAGATAGATTTTTTTTGGGGTGGGGGGGGGTGGGGGAAATGCCGAGCAAAAAGGGGTCCTGGTCCATGACTGGGGCTTCCAGTCACTCACATATACAAATAATAAGCATTACTGCTTTTAATAAATCTTATTTAGATAAACATTCTAGAGTCAGATTAGAATTTTGTCATATGTTTTGTCAAACTTTGCAATTCAAGCATCATCGGATTGGTTTGGGTGCCAAGAAATTTCTGGAAACTATAAGGCTTTGTATGAAAAAGGGAGTCAGCCAGGAACACGGTCAAGAAGAGTATTATCCAGATCCAACTGAGAGTAAACACACAAGCTGCAGAGTTTCAGACAATTTGAGGGTGATGAATTTAACCAGTGGAAATTAAAGTAATCTAAAAGTTTTAAAAAAAACTAATTTAAGTTCATGGGTAGAGACTATTAGAGTGTATAGTAGTTTCCATTCCCTATGAAGATGACAAATTAATAATTTTAATTATCAAAACATTACATCTAAGATATCCACTGCTTGAAATGGTGGCTGTTGGAAACTGAGGCTCTACTCCCAAAGTGAGAATATTGCACGGATTGAAGGCCTCATCCAACTACCAGTGAAGTCCACATGAGTTTTTCCACGGATTTCAACAGGAGCAAGATCAGGAGCTGACCAAGCATATCAGTTCTGCAGTGAAAACTCTGAACAGTCAGCCAGATATTTGTAAAAACAGACAAAAAATACCTTTCATATCTGAGGGAGCTCAAATTGTAAGGCAAGCAATCTATCTTGTAGAGGAACTGAAAAACTGATTGAAATTCATAAATCTGATAACACAAGTTAGTTGTTAAATTTGAATGGCTACGGCTTTAATGATCATAGCTCAGTTAGGTTAGAAATAGTCCAATTATCATTTAGAAATGAGATCTCTTTTAAAAATGCAGTTCCCATAGTACATTCCTCCCCCTCCCCCAGTGAATTAATGTTAAGTCTGACGAGTTTTACTATAAATATGAATGTTTAATGCTGGGGGGGGGAGAGAACCCCAAAGAAACACTAAAACCTCTCTGCAAATGATAATCATATACCAACTGCCATTCTTATCAAGACTGATCAATAAACACAAAAGAGTCAATCCCAGACAGACTTGCTAAATAAATGAAGACTAAAGTAATGATAGTTCCTTTGGCATTTCAAGTAAGGAAGTGACCTGACAAAGCAATCAAATGGGTCCCAGTTTGGAAAAGGTCCTCCTTTCTGATCACCAGTCCAGGGCAAATG